GTGCTGGGTGGCTTTTCCCGTGCTTGGTGCCTCGGTTTCGTGCGGACCTCTTGGGTTTCCGCGGCTTCCTCTTCGGTTCCTGGCTGGGCTGCTTCCCGTGGCTTTTGGGGGGCTTTTCCATGGCTTTGGTGCTTTGTTTTTTGGAGTTAAATGTTGGTTTGTCATATTCCCTATTTATTAAGCTTTTTAATTAATGTTTATGGCTGTTTGTATCCCCATTTCATACCTATAAATATGAGGGGTTTTTTAATGTTTTTAAAAAAGTGATAAGTTGTTTTTGGAAAAGAAATCATTGGGATTTTCTTGGAGAAGCTTGCGAGCTTTGTCCACCTTCTTCCACCTCCTCTGGAAATCTTACGAGCTCTTTCCACCCTTCTTCTCGGCTTCTAATCTCTTTTGTCTCTCCGCAAGTGACCACCTCACCTATATCCCTCTTCTCAAAAGTAAGCAAGTTTAGGGTGTCTTGTTCGAGTCGAATTTATAAGTTTCTTTTTAATTTGAAATGTAAGAGTTTGTTCTTCCTATTATCTAGTAAGTGTGTCCCTATAATTAGCTAAGTGTTCGTTTTATTTCGTAGAAATCCTGTTCTTTTTAGTCGGGTCTACTCTTTGTGGGCAGAGGTCCTCGGGTCCCCCATCCCCCGGATTTTTGCCCGCATCATTTTTGGTAGAACCTCTGGAAGGATTTGGATCATTCTTTTGCAAATTTCTCTACTCCTGTCTACTTTTCCTGTTCCCAGCATAACCCCAAAGCCCCCATGTCCACTAAATTTCAGTCTCAACTGATCCACCATTCTATTGGAAATGAAGTTATGGGTCGCTCCACTATCTAATAGTACTACCACCTCTTTATACCTGATATTCCCCTTAACCTTCATGGTGTGGTTTGGTATGAACTCATCCACTGAGTTAAGGGATACCTGCAACATCTATGTGCAGGTGATCATGTTCCTTCTCTGTAGCATTTTCCTCCTCATCGTTCTGTTTACACCTAAAACTTAAACACTTCGCCCTCTTCTAATAAATTTTTGACTCAGTCAACCTCTTGAAGTTGCCCCCTGGTCATACTCCCTGAGCTTTATTCCTCCTGGCTTCCTTTTGAATAACATCATCTACAAATTTGGCGTTAGAAATATAATGGTCGTGCAGTAGGAGACTCTTGAACTATTGCTATAGCTATTCCTCTCCAAGGAGTTCTTATCGTCCAAAAGCTGGGCTAACTCTATAGCCTCCCCTATGCCACGTGGTCTCAATACTCGAACATAAACTCGAATATCAATCTTGAGCCTCTTCATAAAGTTCCTGATGCGGACATCCAACCGTACATGCTTATCTGGGGAGGAGCTGAAGATCGACGGTCATGATCGTCCTATGTTATCTTTAATTTTATTTGTAATTTTTATTTTTATTATGCATTTTTCATTTTTACCCTCAAGGGTCTAATCATATGTAAGCCCTAGGGGCATGATCATCTTATTTTAGTTTCTTTTCTTTCTGAGGCTTGTATATAGAGGCCCTTTACTAGTGTAATGGTATGATGGAGTTTTAATAAAATTTTGTCATGCACTTTTGTTCTTTGGGAGGTCGTTAGTGAGAATCCCTATGGAAGGAACTGTGGTTTCCACCAGCTGCAGGATGGGTCCGGGCTCGTGGCTTGAAGTTTCTTGGTGAAGAGTATCGTATCACCCATCAGTCTTCGGAAGAGTCAAATGTTCGCGGTTCTATCTTATTTTTTCTTCTTTGCTTTATTTTTCCTTATTTCCCTAAACCGCCACCTCCTCAAGCCCTCCACCAAGGTGTTGATCCTCTCACCCCATCACCTCCACACCATCGGCCTACCCTAGCCCCTCCCTTCCTCCTCCTTCCCCTTGCCCGAATTCCACCAAGACTCCACCCACCCGCCGGCCACCTCCTTCCCTAACCCCACTTCCCTCTAAAAACCACTCTTTCACTGCTTAAGTGGTCATTAATTTGAAAATATTTTAAATTCAAATTAATCTAATTTTAATTTCAAATTCATCCTTTTTAATTACATTAATTTTGGAAACTTCTTTCATTCAATTAATTAATCAATTCTGAAATTGATTGATTAAATAATTCCTAGCCTAAATTCATTGAACCTAGACACCCCTATTCCCCCCCTCTCTCTCTCTTCACCGGCCCCATATCCATGCCCTCTTTAAATCTATTTTCATTGTCTTCTAGTGAAATACAAGTCTTTTCTCCTCATCTTCTACAGTTTTTCCCTCTTTTTCCACTGTTTTTGGCTGATTTCCTGCTGTGGACAGCAGTTTGCTTCGTGATTTGTTGCTAAAGCGATTAGGGAATACTTGAAATCAAGTATTTCCTATCAGGTTCTTAATAAGGCAAGCTCTAAATCCCTACCCTACGCCCTACTTGCACCCAACCATGCCGCCGGTCCTGCCCCCTCCCATATCCGTTCTACATCAGTTCCTATCTAGCACAATCTTTGACAACCTTCCCAATTGGCTTAATAAGTATTCGAACTTCTCCTGGTATTCTATCACTGTCCGCTCCTTCACTAAAGCAATGAACTCATGGAAGTCTCCTCTCGACTGATTCAAAAACTTTCTAGTATATAGTCTTTGAACTGCCTCCAAGGTTAGATCGGATCTCGCAAGTCTCTCCATTGGTGATGCGGGTAAAAAATCCAGGGATGGGGCACCCGAGGACCTTCGCCGGCACAAGAGGAAAGAGACGACACAACACGCTCAAAAAGGGGAGAATACGACGAGCGTAAGAACAAACTCTTACATTTCAAATCTAAGACAGACTTAGAAATTAAAACAAACAAACCGACAACTACAAATTGTAATTAAACGACTTTCAAACTCAAATCGAAATCAAAGACGCCCTAAACTTGCTTCACTTAGAGAAGAAGGATACAGGTAGGGTGTAAACTTGCGGAGAGACGAAAGAGATTAGAAGCCCGAGAAGAAGGGTGGAAAGAGCTCGCAAGATTTTCGGAGGGGATGAGAAAAGAAGATGGACAAAGCTCACAAGCTTCTCCAAGCAAACCCGCAGGTTTACATTTCCAAAAATCACTTATCATTCACTATTTTAAAACATAGCAAACCCCTCATAGTTATAGGTATGAAAGGGGAATACAAAAGGACACGACATTGAATTCACACAAGAATCCAAGCAACACAAGCACGGAAATCCCCCATGCTTTTCACGGAAAAACAGCCCAGCCCAGGAACCGAAGGAGCAACCACGGGAACCAAAGGAGCCGCACGGAACCGAGGCGCCAAATCCACGGGAACCCCCCCCCCCCCAGCTCGGAAAACCAACAACCATCGTGTGAACCAAGGGGCCATGCACGAAAAACAGCAGCCCACCGTGAAAGCCAAGGAGCCATGGCATGGAAAACAAAACTTCTTGGAATTCCAAAAGCCATTTTGGAATTCCAAGAGACAAACTTAATTAAAGACATAAAAATTACATTTAATAAAAGATAACTATGAACTAAAACTTAGCTAATAATGAGCTAACCCTTAGTTCAATAAGTGAACTAAAGACCAGCTCATAAAAGAGCTAAATTTCAGCTCAAATTTGATTGAGCTTGTAAACTCGAGGGAAGCCTAAAATCAAATTATTTTGGCTTGAGTTGACCCCCCCTTTGTCTACATCAATTTGTATCGGGACAGAGCCTTCCCTTCTAGACATACAACGACTGCGGTGAGTTTCTCATATCATGTCAACCCATTTACAGTAAAATCGCTCCACCCGATAAATCCACCTTCGAGCATATTGTCCCTAAAAAATCAGCATCTTCAATTTCCTCGCCCTATGATCACCACCGCCTCAATTGCTTTTTCCTCCTCCAGTGTAGCGGGTGTTGTGATTGCTCCATATTTCTCTCTCCCCCAAATCAGCTCTCCGATCTTCACCATCCCAATTTCTTCATCGGATATATCCTTCACCAGTTCCCCTCCTTGGAAGTGGCTCCAAAGGTGGCATCTCCTCTTCTTCCCCCAAAATTTCTACCTCTCAATCCTCCCTCATTGTCCTTATATTAGGGTTCTCTCTACTTTCTTCGGTCAACGGTGCCCTTTTATCTGATGATGCCATATTGGCTTGAATTCTAATATCCTTTTCATCATCTCTTCCGGATTTGAAAATCTTTCCTCAATAGCTGAAATTTGCTCTCCGAATTCAGATTTCAGATTTTCAACTACTCCATCACGCTTCTCCTCCAATGCATCAACCTTTTTAGCCTCCATAGGTCCCATAAAAGGTGCTATGATACCGATTTGATAGGAATCCGATCTCCACATAGTCAAAACAACAATAATGAATTGAAAACGTAGCAGAAACCAACAAGAAAAAAATGAGATTATGGTCTAATTTTATTGATATCAGCACAACAAAGCAAGATGTAAGTAATTAAAGGTAGAATTAATCCTGTTTGTGCACCCCCTCTTCTTGCCCGTTGCTCACAGTAGCGGGGCCCACAGGGCTCTTCTGCCCGACAGCTGGACCGCCACACCTTGTTGGGGTTGGGTTGATTGGCTAGACCGGCTCAACTAGTCTATCATCCAAATCTCCATCATATTGAGTGTTTGTGGCATTACCATTAATCCAATTTGATTTTTTCAATATTTTTCACGAAAAAATCCTCCTAGCTCAGTCAACTGCCAGCTAGACAACCGGGCCAAATAAAGATACACTGCTTATGCAAATTACTACCTAACCAAGTGCACATAGGATATCATTAGTTGTCATTTCTTATGACTGCATGTTGCATGAATGTGTTGATCATTCCACACATCAGTAGGATCATATCTTACGATCCTGTTCTTCTTAAATTTTGCATCTTTTTTCCTTCTGACATACCATTTTTCCTTCTAAAATTTTTACTGCATAGCACGAGTTCTCAGTTTTGAATATACTTTTTCCATTGGCACTGGAATGCTTTTGCTTGATTTTATCAACTTTTTTGTTTTTTTTGCTTTCATAATGTTATATTCTTTTCAGGATCTCAACAGCATTTTGTCCACACTTCTTCCTGTGGCATACATAGGTAATTACAATGATGATCCTCCAGGTATTTCGAAAGCACTAAAGGTGATTCCTATATCAAGTACTGTCAGCCTTACTAATGGCATATATCATTTTCATATTAGTTCCATTTTATCAACCTTTTATGCTCTTTTTTATTTTGAGTTCTTGGTTGTATTTCAAAGTTAGAGGCGGGTTTTTAAGGCTGTCATCATTTCAATCTACTATTGTAATTTGTGGTGGTACATGTTGATATCCCTGTGAGATGTGCTGCAAATTTTTGAACTATGAATGTTGGTTTCTAATTGTTTGAGCGTTTCTGGTCGTTCATACTCTACTCTTCCCTTATCAAGTTATTGTGTTCCTTTTTTTAAAAAAATAATTTAAGTTCCCTTAAAGGAGAAAAGCTTGTATTTTAAGCTTTTAAGCTTGCAAATGCAAAATTTCTGGCTATTAATGCGGTTACTTTTATTCATACTAAGCATGCTGTTTCCTTTTTGTTAACTAAAGGGCATCCACTTCCGTGTTCACTCTGTCTTCGTCCGTTTATTAAGTTGTATTTGGAAGTACTTGTATTCATATTTTGCATCGATTTTTGAATTTTAATTGAAAGTTCATTTCATATGGTGAATCTCAGGGATTGTTTGACTTGCTGAAAATGAAACGCGGAGTAAACATAATGCAATATAAAAAGAGTGTAATGTATTTGAAATGTTTTGGAGTTGTTTGGATAAGTGCAAAAAAAAAAAAAAAATGCAAGTAATTTTTTTGTTTGTCTTGAACTAGAATGAATGTAGTGTTAAAGTCCAATGAAGGTGGTGGTTAGCAGCTATGGGGAGTGATGGTGGCAGACAACAATAGTATCACACTCCATTTTGACCCCCTTATAGTCAATCTAGAGTGTAACAGAGAAGAAAAATATGAACATATCTCCTCCTTACTTACACCCATTCTGAACTATCTCTATCAGAATCAGGGAGTAAGAAGTACCCTATTTAGAATATCCTAACATATCAAGCTTTATAGTTCATAAGAGGAAGCATATATAATATACCTCAAATAAAATACACATCTCAATTGAAATACAGAGCTTTATTAATACTTTTAAAATTTACTTACATACCCATATGTAAGTGGGGAGTTACAGTAATAGGAATAAAATAATAAAATGACTGTTTATTATTGAAGTATATTAATTGTTATCAATTACATGTTAAGTAGCTTAGTTTTAAATTTACTGTTATTGAAGTATATTAAACAGTTGTGAATTTAATAGTTATACATATACAATTAGATTAAGAGTTAAATATACTTCTATATGTTGAAATGCTTAAAATTAAAAGTAGAATTTAATGAAAAAAAGTTAACGTTTAGAAGAAGTTATGCTTACCTTTGTTTTGAGCATTTTGAGTATTATAAGCAGGGGGCCGGGTAGCAATGATAAACAATTTATAGCGTATTTGAAACTCAACGAAATTTAATGATTAAAAAAAAAACAAAACATCAAACTTGAACTAGATAGTGAATTCCAAATACTTCAGAATTTAACTCTGCATTTCTTTTACTTCAAACCATATATTAATATTTTTAAAAACATTGCATTTGGAATACTTAATACTTATTTTATTTCAAACCAAACTGCCTCTTAGTTTAAATTAGGTGATTTTAGTTGAGTTTTAAAAGACTTGCTATACGTTTTCAGTGTTTGGGCGCCAATTTGCAGATTTTGCAAGTTTAAGGGACTAATTATTCAGTTTTCCTAATAATATGTAAACTAAGTGATGATACGTGTTTTTTCTCTTTTGGCAGGCATATAATGAGATTCAGCATTGTTTTCTTGTTATTGGTTCAGTTTATCCAGAGGATCTGTATGCATACCTTCTGAGTGTGAGTGGCATTTTTTGTATAGAAGCAAAACATTTATAATTAGAATGAATATTATTGTGCTTAAAACTGTGAAATTCATTCTTCTTTCTTTTTGGTATTTGATATTAATAATTGTCATCCAGAAATGTCAGGCAAAGGATGAGTATTTTATAGTTGGAGCACTCTGCGCCATAAAACATCTCTTGCCCAGGTTATAATATGCTCAATTAAAATCTATGAATGAGATTTCTTTCAAATCTCCTTGAATCCTGTATTTGTTTCTAAGTTCTAACTACTGCTTTTTTTCTTAACCAAGGTTGTTGGAAGCTTGGCATGCCAAAAGGAATTTGCTTATTGAAGTTGTAAAGTCACTTTTAGTTGAGCAGAGTTTAGGTGTGCGAAAGGCACTTGCTGAGGTTCCATTTATGATTTTGTCATCGGTTTCTATAATTTTTTTTCTTTGCCAGTTTTTTTAAAAGTAATTTCCTTCTTAGAGCCATCGTTGATGGTTCTGAAGCTTAGTGTGCATTTGGTAATACTTGTGTTCTGGTATTGTTGATAAAACATTTTGTATGATTGGCTTTGAGTACAACGAAGGCTTTTTGGTAAAAAAATAAAATAGATAAACTAATAATAAATGCAAAATTTTAAATGGAAATGTTATTACAGTTTATGAGCTGTTAAAATGACCGAAGAGGAAATGATTCATGAAATTTTATTTGATTTATTATTTGTATAACTGTGGCTTAGTGTGGTGCTGTTGGGAAAGGGGGCTGAGGTTTATAGAGGTTAGTGGTGATGGCACAGGTGGAAGTGCATTCAGTGAGCTGAAATGATCGATCAGTTAACCATTGGTTTCTTCAGACTGGACATTATGCTTATTATGGCTTCCTATCAAGGATGTTCTCATCATTTAAATGCCTAAAGCTGCTTCAAGATACACATGGGCTTTGGCAGTAGCACCTTGGACAACTTCCCTTTTTTTGATGTTGGGCTAGAGCAGCTTTGGGCCATAACAGCTTTAATATACGGAGCAACCACTTAAAATTGAAAATTGTGGTACAAAGTCTTCCTTTTAATGAATTAAACTGATGCAAGACTAAGCGAAATAAGTAATGCAAATAGAGATTTATGCTAAGATAACATCAAAGACAACAAAATAAACTTCATAAAATATTAAGAATAATAAGAAAATTTGAACTATTAGATCATGTGATAGCAAGAAACTAACAAGTAAAGGCTAAACAATAACAAAAGGTGAATCAATTTAGACTAGCTCACTAGAGTTTCTGTTCAATGACATCAATTTAGACTAGCAAATATGGATTGGCATAAGTCTAACATTTAATTAAGGGACTAGTCACTAGAGTTTTGGTTTGCTCATATTTAAATAGAACTTGGCTGATTAATCAACACATATGAGATGATGCTACTGTAGATGAAATGAGAAGACCAATATTTAGCTAGATGAAGAACAAGAGGAAGGTTTGATACTTAGCTCATGAATGGGAGGAATGGAGTCATTGATGAAATGAAGGCTAGTTCCTCCTTGGCCCTTGAAATCCTTGCTCTTTGTTGAATTAATATCCTTGTTGCATTAGTAGAAGCTAAGTTTCCTTGGAGAGGTAGATTAGTGAGGAGGGAAAAGAAAGTGTCAGCTATATGAGGATTTGGAAGTGAACTTGGCCGATTTCATGGGGACGGGGATGGGAGAGATGATTGGCTGATTTTAATTCCTTGGAAAGAGAGAAGTCAGCTTGGGAAGTGAAGAGGTGGGGGCTAGTTGCTTGGGGAAGAGAAATGGTTGATATGGTTTGTTTGGGAAGGGAATTAGTTGACTTGGGAAAGGGAAAAGTCAGCTTGGGAGATGAAGTGGTGGGGCTGTCATCTTGGGAAAGAGAGAGGGATGATGTGGCTTGCTTGGGAAGGGAATTAGTTAGCTTTGAAAAGGAAAAAGTCAGCTTGTGAGGTGAAGAGGTGGCACTGGTTGCTTGGGGAAGAGAAAGAGCTGATGCGGCTTGGGAAGGGAAAAAGTTAAAGTAGATGCGGATCTCCAAAGGTCACAATTAATTGAGATAAATGCTCAATTAATCTGAATTAATTTCATAATTTGGGAAGCCCAAGGGTCAAGGGTGTTGGGGAGAAAGTGGAGGCAGATTGAGAGAAAGAGAGGGAGGTGGTTGTTGGTTGAGGGCAGAAGGTTTCTGCAGTTGGGGGGGTTGTTTGGGCGGCTAGGGAAGGAGAAAGAGAGAGAGAGAGAGAGAGAGAGAGAGAGAGAGAGAGAGAGAGAGAGGGAAGATGGTACCAAGTAAGAGCTCACACGCCGTTGGGTATTTTTTTGCCCTTCTCCAAAGGACTTCACACACAAACACAACTTATCAAGAGAAGAGAAATCATATAATCAAAAATTTATACAAAATATTAATCATCCATACAAGAGAACAATGAGCCATATTTATAAGCACCAAAAACATGAAAGGAACAAAGGACAAGAGGGCCCTTGGCCAAACAACACAAAAGCTTCCTTAAGTGAATGTAAAACTGTAATAAAAATAAATAACATCACATAAATCTCCTACAACACACAAAACTAAAAATATAAAGGCTCAATCAAGGCCGTAGATCTCCGGCCTCTATGGTGATATACCTTCCAGGCTCTGATGTCCCCATCATAAACATTTACCAAACCGCCATTAGTTTTATGAAAGTGAGCTGGATATGAAGCTTTCTCATTTATTCTTTATTCTTTGATTTAATGCTTTTGCCATTTATTCCAGTTACTTCTTGTTATGGCTTCACATTGTTACTTTGACGGGACTTCTACGGAGCTGTTTATCGAATATCTTGTTCGCCATTGTGCTATATCGGATGATGAGAAATATTTGAAGTCCTCTAATGAGCTTGTTTGGAAAGGAAATCCCTTTCAGCCTTTCTATAGGAAAATTGAGGTCTGTCTGCTTATCATATATGGCCAAATTTGGAGAGCTGCAACAGTAACATGTGTGTTATAAGTTGATTTTTCTGATCAGGTGAATATATCTGCTGTAAGTCCTGCCAAGCTGAGAGTTATCTGTGAAAAAGGCCTTCTTTTACTTGCTGTTACCATTCCAGAAATGGAGGTACGACTTCAGTTTGTTCTAAGTTAAAGCTTTACTCCTTCCCTGTTGTATAAGATAATATTATATAGATTAACTTATAATCATCATAAATATTCATTACAGTGATTTGCTCGCTTTAATATGGCTTTATTTTCTCCTTCGTTTGCAGCATATCCTTTGGCCTTTCCTCTTAAAGATGATTATACCCAGGGAGTATACAAGAGCAGTTGCAATAGTAAGTTTTCCTTTAATATTGTATACCCTTTTATATTTATATTTTACAGTATATGTGACGTGAAATCACATAGGAATTGCACGTAGAAATTTATAACGATTGAATTAGGCGTCGCAACTTAAACTTAATGTTTCACTTTGAAAAGATTTTACGAATTTAAAATTGTTTAAATTGATATGGCAAGTAACCACACAATAGAAGACAAGATCTCAAAATAATATCAAGATTATAATGAAAATAAGTAGTGCAACAAACAAACAATCCACCACGTAACAAAGAGAGGATTCACCTCGAGTTTCCCTCACTCACACTCTTTAAGGGTTAGCGGAAGAAGAACCGCCACAATCCGGAAGATGCCACCACGAAGGAGAGGAAGTTGAGAGTTCCAACGAAAGTTAGCCGGAGGAGGGACTATTTGTAGACGACCGATGATCCACCAATGTCCGGTGGGAAGATGCTTGACTTCTTTCTTGCAAGAGAGCTCATGGGATGAGGAATTCCAAGAAGGTGGGCAAGGAAGAGGGCCAGCCAAGTGTGGAGGGAATTAGGGTTTGTGGGGTCTAGGTTTGGGGTTATGGAAAGAACATTAAATCTGAAATTAATTTCAGATTTAATTAAATGAGGGAAAATAATTTAAAATTCAAATTCAAATTCAAATATGGGTTAGAAGAATTAGGGTTATTAAATTCTCTTTAAAATTAATTACCAAGGAGGAGAATCAATTAAGAGAATTAAATAAGGGTGGACGGAAGGATTATAATTCAAATTTTGAATTAAAAAATTTGGAGCATGGGGAGGGCCGGCGGCATAGAGAGAATAGCGGGGAGATTGGGAAGGGTTTAATAGTTTCCTAATGCACTCCTATTAATTAGGGATGAAATATGAATGATCAATCTAATTTAAAATTAAATTAGAACCCAATTTATAAACTTTCATAATTTAGCTTTCTTAGTTTAGGAAAGTATTTGAAATTCGAAATTTGAATTTCAAATTATTTAGATCTTTTCCAAACCAATTAGGATATTTTAGGTAGGTGTTAATGATGATTGATTTCATCATCCAAGGGGAAATAGGAAGGGGGTGGCCAGCGGTGGGGCTAGGGCTAGCTAGGCCGGCGGTTTGGGGGTGAAGGTGGGGTGGTCGTCGGCATGTGGATGGGGTGAGGTGTGGCTTGCGGCTTAGAAGGAGATTGGGTAAAAAGGTCCGGCCGGTGGAGGTGGGTTGGATTGGCCGGCGGTGGTGGGAGGGAAGATAAGGTGGCCGGTGATAGGGAAAGGAGAAATGACTAAAATGCCCATAGACCCTCTCCTCTCAAGAACTCACAAGGAGATCAAACAAGAAAAGCTGAAGTTTTTCATTCATAATTATCATTATTCAAATACAAGACCAAGGACCTAATATATAGGCCTCATAGAGAAAGAAAAGAAATGACTAAAATGCCCATAGGGCTACAACTCAACTCAACACACAAGCAAGGGTACAAACATAAATAAAGAAAGTCTGAACTAATTCATAAAATATCAAATATATAAGTTCCTCATCATAGCCGTCGATCTACGATGCTTCCGACAGTAGACATTCCGGAATCTCCTACTGATGTCGTCATCAATATGTCTTGAAAAAATTGGAATACATAGGGCTTTAATACCCTCCACATTGTGCACTCGCTTCACTCGGCCATCATCTAGTTTCCCGCACTCGTACGTGTTGCACCATCTTGACTTTTTTCTTGCGTGAGGCCTCAACAATGTGCGCTATGCACGCTCTCCTGATCTTTGACACCGACGCCAATCAACTTGCTTTTCCTTGCGCTTTGGCTTAGATAGGGCTTTCATTCTTAGTACCTCTTACACGTAGGGTTGTTGTGTTGCCTTCTTTTGCTGCTTGCCTTCCGTGGATTTTTGATCTTCCTCCTACCTTTGATGTGTTGTTACCTTCTTCTGCTGCTTTCTCACATGGTGCTGGAGTTTTGGTTGAACTAGACGTTGCTTCTCATTTAGAGAAGGTGTGGATTGGTTCCTTGACTTGTGGATATCGGCAAAGAGTTGAATTTGAAGACATTCCAACATGTTTATTTCCTTGAAAAAAAATTTTCTGCATATTTTGTTAGAATGCTTCAATGCTCGTCCAAATATGAGAGTCTAATTATCAGGCTCAACAGATACAATCAAGTGATCATGTTCGACCCTCTTCCAGTTTGTTCACTTCAACACTTGCAAGCTTTACCATTGATCCAGATCCATCAAGTATTGTAACACTTCATCTTCCTCCAATTTGTGAATACAACGATGATTAGGATAGTCATCAACAGTCTTATGATTCAAATGAGAGCACTAATAGTGTAGACCTACAGTTGTATGGGAGGTTTCAATTTTATTTACTGGACGAGTCAAGAATTAAAAAAATTATCACCACTCCATGTTTTTATCACGCTTCAAGCAAGGTGGTCTAAATGAATATTTTTTGATTGTTTTCATGTTCTTAGGGATTTGTATCCTAGGCTATCATGCTATCTCTATCATATACTTTACTTTTTTTTAGTGTTAATTCTCGGTAAGTACCTTTCATGTACACATACATTGTGTAGTTATAATATTTTGCTTTAAAAAAAATGTAGAGAAAATTGCAACATCCATCCACTTGCATGTCTAAACTTTTGTGTACTTGCTTACATTCGCATAAACTTGTGCGCTTATGCATATTAAATGTATGATTCATTTTGTCTTAACTATGGTAATAAAAAAATGCAACTTATCAAATTGCGAAAACCAATGTGCATTACACATGAGAAATTATGCTTTAAAATTGCGCCATCAATAAGGCTCACCTCAATGTAATTTAAAAAAAAAACAGTAAGGCATACTCCTCATGCTTACTTGATGAGGCTTAAGCCTCAAACGGGGTGAAGGTGTGCCTCACCGCAAATTTATCGTAATTTTTAAGAGGCGTACGTCTAAAAAAGTAATGTTTAAATATTTTAAATTTTTTAATATATATATTAAACCTATTTTTTATTTCTAAACCAGACTAAACTTGAGAATAAGCGCGCAACTTGAAACTCACAGTCGCATGACCTCATCCATGCACTCGATCCTATAGTGTCACCGTCATTGCTGTGCTACTGTCTCTGCTTCTCCTCTAATACATTTTCTCTTGTTGCTGAAAACCAATTTCTTTGTTTTTAATATGAGGGAGGAGAGAGTAATTAACTACAATGATGATTTTAATGATTACCTTCTAAGTGATGCAAGAGAGAGATTTTTGAATTCATAAATTGTGACTTTATACTGCTTGTGTATGTTGAATTAGGATACTTTATTCATCATTGTTTATAGTTTATATGATTTTTAATATCCTTTGACTTTTTATGATTATTATAATGTTACTATTTCATTTTTTTTAAATTAATTTAATGATTTAATTATGATGCTTGCACCTCAAAACACCTTGGGGCTTGTGCTTCGCTTTATAGAATAGAACTCCTCAATATCTGATTGTGCAATTTCAAACTTTATGTGCAGCAATGTAGTAAATACACATTTTTATTCACACAATCAATTATCATTGGCTGAAATCATCTATGCATGCATGGAATGATAAGCTTCGGATAATGGCTGAGATTCATTTTTTCAAGATCAGGAGAATATCAATATAAACTCTGTTTCTTACTATAATGATATTTTGCAGATTCACAAACTCAGATTCTGAACTAATTTAAAGTGCTTATGAATGGGGGAAAAATTGAAATTTTGTTGCTCACTATGTATGCTACTTTTTGTCAGGTTTGCAAATGCATATCTGAATTGCACAAACATCGGTCATCTCTTGGCAACTTGATGTCCAATGGATTGACTTCATCAGATCAAATTCCCGACCCTATGGTAGCTAGCTTGTTAATGCTGCGATTGTAATTACTTGTATTTTTAGGAGTGGTGATCGTAGCCTGATGACTTGTTGCTATTCCAGGATCTCCTTGCACGTTTGACTGTCCTACTTTGTGACCCCCTCGCTCAGGAGCAGTTGACAACACAGATTCTAACGGTTTCTGCTAATTTATATTATTCGCTTTCAATTCTATACTTTTTGATAAATGAAAGTTTTGTTGTTTCCATTCTTTTAAAATTGTTTTTTATGATACACTCACAGAATCGTATAAATATCATTGTCTGTGAAGAATGTTTTCTGAGAGGCTATTTTCTGTCAAGTATGGTGATTTAATTCTATTTGTGTTGAGCATGTCTAAATATTGGTGATTACATCATCATCATTTGCTTGATATGGATTAATTGGGGTTGTCTTTATGAATCCTCATTCACCATTTTAATGCTATACGAACAAGATTTGTTGGATTTATTGATAAACAAAAAATAGAAGGAAGAAAGGGGGAAAGAGAGTGTGGTAGGGGTGGAAAGGTACATGATGATTCCTCAAGTTATTGATCTTGAAATACTTCAAGAAACATGTGTTGACTCATCAAATTATGATGTTAAATTCTCAAAAGAACTTGTTGGAGATGCAAATTGATGTAGGCAAATTAGAGCAAAGCACAAAGAGAGATCAACAAAGAGAATCAAATCTTACTTTTTTAAAATTAAGACATAACTTAGAGAACAAAATAAGTTAGAGAAAACAACATTTTTACCCTCCGGGGTAATATATCGTATTCTTATGCCGTGCCCGATTATAAAATATGCAATCCGTTCGAGGATACAAAAATTCTTCAACAACAACTACTAGAAAAAGAAATGATGAAATGCTACACTAGTCTGAAATGAGGAATAACTGATTAACAACTGACAATTAACTTTAGACAGCTAAGGATGAACTAAAATAAAACATGAGAAATTAATCATGGCTGCAATTTTATAGGTGACATTATGATTGACAATCAAGAATAAGCATTCTATGCCCATCAATTCTTTTGGTCTGAGAAGAACTCTACCTAGAGAGTACGTAGCTGAAGTGCTAGAGAGGCAAACCTGAATCTTTTTGTTTTTGCTAAATTCAGAGAATTAGAGAAGGAAAATGCTTCATTTTATTATACAAAATTATCCATTTTTATAGATCTATACAAGATATCTTAATAAAGATACAAAGAACTTCAGAATCATGCATAATCGCCTTAATATAATCCTTCTTAAATCAGCCGCCCAAATATAGAAGGAGATTGGCGTGATCCAGGTGAGCATCCAACGGGTCCCCATGCTAGCCGTGGGATCAAGGGTTAAGGAATGGTTGAGATTTAACAGTGTGATCCAGGTGAGCTTCCCACGAATCCCCATGCTAACCATGGGATCAAGGGCCAAGGGACAGTTAGGATTTTAACACTCTCTCTCAAGCTAGGGAATATAGATATGTCATTCCCAACTTGGTAATTAGTCCTAAAAAATAGAGTTATCAAGTCCCTTGGTGCACTATAGAGTCCTCCATTTGGTCAATATTTTTGGAGAAATTAGCTTTAAACATTGTGGTAGCAAAGGGTAGCAATGAAGGCTATATTAAGCATGGCAATTGATGCTATCAAATATTATGTACTATTATTTTATATTGAACATTAGTATGTTTTTTTTTTTATGTTCTTTTCTTTTTTTAGCTATCCAGTGATGGGAAAGCATCCAATGATCATGGTAGGTAGTGCTTGGGGCTCGGTAGACCTTTGGTTTGCTGGCTCGATTGGTCCTTGGCTGCTGCTGGTTCACGGGTTGGCTTATGGTCCACGGTTTTGGGGCCTATGGTGATATGTGGAGAAGGTTGGTTCATTGGATTGGAGCTCATTTTCTTAGTTGCTAGCTCATTAATGATGAGCTAAAGTTTAGTAGCTCATTAATGTTCTAAAGGTAAGCTCATAAGTTGGATTCATTATTGGAGTGGTCTTGTCCCTTCTCCTCCCCTTTTCTTCTTTAATATTTATCTTTGTCCCATGGGATTCCGTGGCTGTTTTTGGGCTTCCTGTGCTGGTTGTTTCC